TGCTGTTTTCTGCACCTTGCTAGCACCAGTTTCATTTCATAGAATTGCCTCCAAAAGCACTATTCCTTCTGACTTGTTTTTAGCTCAGGTGAGCTCCCCAGCCCTACCTGCTCTGTGACCAATCATATGAGCACTTGTGTTAGAACAGAATAGACTATTTCAGTTGGAAGGGACCTACAATGATCATCTAAGTTCAATTACCTGATCACTTCAGGGCTGACCAAAAGGTAAAGCACATTGTTAAAGGCATTGTCCAAATACCTCTTCAACACTGGTAGACTTGGGCCATCAACTACTCTTGAGGAAGCCTGTCCCAGTGTTTGACCACCCTCTTGGTAAAGAAATGCTTCCTAATATCCTGTCAAAACCTCACCTGGTGCAGCTTTGAACCATTCCCACACATCCTGTCACTGGATCCCAGGGAGAAGAGCTCAGCACTTCCCTCTCCACTTCACCTCCTCTGGAAGCTGTAAAGAGCAATGAGGTCACCCCACAGCCTCCTTTTCTCCAAACTAGACAAGCCCAAAGTCCTTAGCCACTCCTTACAGGACACACCTTCCAGCCCTCCCTCTCGATGCATTCAGGGAGCTTGACATCCTTCTTCATTTGTGGGGCCCAGAACTACACACAGTATACAAGGTGAGGCTGCACCAGTGTTGAATACAGCAGGATAAACACTCTTTTGACTGCCTGGTTATGCTGTATTTGATGCACCCCAGGCTGCGGTTTGCCCTCCTGGCTGCTAAGGCACACATGTTCACATATGCAGCAAGATCTTTTCAAGTTTCCAAGTGACAAGAACACTGCTTGCACACTTTCTTTTACAACTTACAAAAAACATTTGCAAGCAAACTTATCAGCAAACTTCCCCCACCCACCCTCAAACAAAAACAAACCCCAAAAGACCTTCTGATCAGATATGAAAGGAGAACCAGAGCGCTAATAAGCCGCTTGACCAGATATCCCTCATCAGTAGCGTAATTTGCCATACCATGCTGAAGACTACTGATGATCAACTAGGTGAAAGAATTCACTGAAGACCTAAGTACTTGACCTTCATAATGATGCTCATCAGCTAGCAGAATTACAGTCTTCCCAATTTTTAAAGAAAGCTTATGTGTTTTCACATAGTATCATGTATCATTTTAAAACATTGAAAGTTTTCTGTTGTTAAAAAAGGCACAAGCAGTGTGATGTACAGTAATCCCTTGTTTTCCACGTATTGAAAGTGTAAGTATTTTGAGGGTAACCTATTCTATCAAAGAATCTATAACATAAGAAGAAAGGGATGTTTATCCTGTTTCCTCTGAGTTTCGAGAGTGATGACTGAGGGGGTGTTAACTCAACCTTAAAGTGTGCCTCCATCAACTTCTGTTTGAACAAGAATACTGTGTTAGTAAAAGCATCACATCCCAGTGGAAGAGTTTGTGTGAGGAGCCAGCATCCACCTTTAAAAACCTGTTCCAAGAGACAGCTTCATGGACTGTTATATTTATACCTTATTTTTCCATTTGAGCTTGATTAGCACTACTATTCACTTTTCCAATAAGCTCCCTGACTGAAGTTATTCCTTCCCTCAGTGTTATATTTTCTCACAAATGATTAAACAAACAGCCTCTTAACCTCCTCTTTAAGAGGGTAAGACAACAGAATACCAACTTTTCATGATGGATCACATGCTGTTTTTTGATGAAGCTTCTTTCATTTTCATGGCTTTTACAGCCTTTAGTAACTGATTCGACTATGCACACTCCATCATAGTATGAAGAGATGTGACATAAATCACACTGTTCACACTTAATAATACTTTACGGTTTTATCCAGCAGTTGCTCTAGCTTTCCTGACAACAGTGTTGTGCTATAAACGTAAGTGTAACTTGTTATTCATAACATATCATATATCCCTTTCAGGATCACTGAACAACAGGATAAAGCTTTCCAATAAATATTTACATGCTTTATTCCTAAAATGATAGCTTTACCTTTGGAACTGCCAAAAAGAATATTGGCTTTTGCTTGGCTTACATAATTCCAGGGATTACTGTATTGTAACTTATCCTTAACCTTCAATTGATAACAAAGACATGAGATGAGACTATCCACTGCATATACACACTGCACTGTAATATACTAATAATAATACACAGGTACTAGGTCACATTTTTCTACAGGGAGGGGTGGCAAAACAAGGGAAA